CCCCACACCGGTCCTGTCCCTGCCGCAGGCAGTCGCGCTCACCAACCAGCCCCAGCCCACTCTCTCCTCTACCCTTTGCAAAGTACGTGGTAGGTAGCTCTTGGCCCCAAGAGGATTTTGGTAGGAGCAGGAAGGCTGGCCAGCCCCACAGATGAGTCTTTTCTTCTTTAAAGGTGAAGTCAAGGTGAGAGCCCAGCCACGCTGATATCAGGGACAAAATTCACCTTTAGTGTCACCAGGTGCCTTTTTCTGCATTTTTTCTTTTTAAAATACATTTAACTATTTTAAAGTATATCGGCATTGCCAGTAGTCAGCTAGAGATCAAACATGGCCTGCCCCAGGGACCTTGTGCTCAAACTGGCTGCTCTCAGATTTGTTATTTGAACTTCCCCTCCACCAGCATATTCCAGTGATAACTGCAAGTGCAGGCACAGTGCAGGCAGACAAGATATGACTGTCAAACCACCATCTGATAAATATAATAACCCTACAATATATAATTTTGCATCATTGGGTTTTGACTCTTCCTCTTCATTTTATTTCATCTCGCTGAGGACTCCTAACCCTTCCAAAGTCTTCAGTAGGCTTAAAAGAAGCAGGTTGCCTCCTGGGGAAATGTCACACATGAGAGGAAGAATGGCAAGTTGTTCTTGCATTTTATTGCAAGTCAGAAACCGGAGGGAAACGCTTCCTGACCAGACTCAAAATCTGGTGGTGAAGGGAGGCAGAGTAAAAACCCAGACTTCATAGCTGGCTGCTGCCTGCCCGCCTGCAGCGGAGCAGAGCTGTTCAGGGCAGGGGAAGGCTCCCCAGCCTCTCTGCTGTGATTCTGGTAGCACTGGCACCCCAGAGGGTCCCCAGGGGTTCACCTGGTTGCTGCCACCCAGCTGTTTCTGAAACAAACACTTCAAGCAGAGCTGCCTTTCCAGATCATTGCCTTGAGATTACGCCACCGAAGGAGAGGCACGGCAGGAGAGAAGTGTGTGTGCATGCATGGATGTCCTTTGACTAAGTCCCCATAATGAGTTGGTCTCTATAATGAGCTGGCCACCAGACTTCTTCATAACTATGATTTTTGTACAGAGTAAGGCAACATGGATTTGTTCCCCTAAATTTTACCTTCCTATAAAATGTGTATGTCAAGACATTAATTGCCAAGGCCTAAACCTTCACTCCTCAAAGAGAAGTGCCTGGCTCCAAGGAAGGCCCACAGCTATGAATCTCAGAAGGTTGAAGGCCTCTCTCACAGACCAGTATGTGGGTACCTAATGTCTCTTTGACATCTCTAGGACGAGAGGAAATGGCCTCAAGTTGTGCCAAGAGAGGTTTAGATTGGACATTAGGAAAAACTTCTTTACTGGAAGAGTGGTCAGGCCTTGGAACAGGCTGCCCAGGGAAGTGGTAGAGTCACCATCCCTGGAAGTATTTAACAGACGTGTAGATGAGGCGCTTAGGGACATGGTTTAGTGGGCATGGTGGTGTTGGGTTAACGGTTGGATTCGATGATCTTAGAAGTCTTTTCCAACCTTAATGATTCTATGATTCTATGATTCTATCCCCAACTCTGAGCAATTGGACCTGACTCCTCTCCTCGACATATCCTTTTGACTCTCTCAAGTGGTTTCTCACTCAGCCTGATGTTCTTACTGCACTTCTTTTAGTTGGCAAACTCTCTTCCTATAGCAAGGAGAACCTTGCATTGCAACACCCCAGTCCCTGTACAAGTGCAGCCTCAAGAAAAATAAAAGAACTGAGTTGTTTGCATTCATTTTGATTTTTGTGCCCATAATACAATGAAGCAGCTAACCCAGGTCATGCAGCATTGTTTGCAAGAAGTAGCATCTTAATCTAACTTGTTGTATATGTCCCTGAGGCACCCAGCATAACTGGGCTTTAGCTGATGGTCACCATATTAACAGTCTTTTATGTTCAGCAGTATCACTGTTTTAAAAGGCTGCCCGGTCCTTTGTGGAGCAAAAACCTGATGCTCCTGATCTGTGGCTCCAGTACAGCCGTTAATAGGTGTTTACTTTAAACACCTTTTTAGTAGCTGTATCTTGCAAATAGCTGTTAACTGATTAGGCTGTTAGATTAAACCTGTTTGTTCAGTAGAGTAATCAGAACTAGGCTGGTAAATACACATCATGTCACTCTGCACACAATATACCTTTTCAAGGAAATCTTACATGCTGCTGTAACCTACCTATACCGACATACTTTGCTGTATTTTAGAAGCTTACAAAAGGGAGACTACATGGCGGTTTTTGTTCTGCACCTAGATAATCTCAGGCTGCTCACAGTGTGACTACAACGTTTAATCAAACAAGTAAACGTACTTCAAATGAGTTCAATTTACCTATAAATAAAGCCCATTAAACAAATATGACCAATACAGCCGTGATTTTGTTCTTAGGTGGGTAACAAAATAAACAGTTTGAGCTACTATTCACATTAACAGCTGCTCCTGAGACAAGGGGCCAACACCCTCCAGCAACGTGCTGGGGGCTTCTGGAGGCTGCTCCGGCTGTGGATTAAGTGCCTGTCCTCTCAAAATTACCCAGAACTGTTATGATGGTGAAGAGCCTCCGCTGCCTTTTGAGATGGTCTTTAAAAGGGAGGGGTGCCCCTCAATGAGCAGAAAACAAATGACCGTCAAGAGCAGACTTCTACCCAGCCTGAGGGGAGAAAGGTAGGAGGACAGGTTTTTAAAAGGATGCTTCTTCATGTTTCCATTTTATTGAATTGTGAACTTTGCAATTAATTATGGAAGAGAAGTGTTCTGCTTTCTTGTCAAAAACTTCTTCAGTGTTTAGCTCATTTGGACAGTTTGCCACATGAGTTTTGACTTTTTTTGTTTCCATTTCACGCAAAGCCGCACACTTGATTTCAGTTTGCTCAATATTTTGGTTAGAGTTTCTTCTTTCTGTTTAATGAAAAAAGAAAATCTCCTGAAAACAAGATTTTTTTAAAAGCAAAACAGTTTCCAGGGAGATCATACTTCTTCAGGCTAAACAGTTTCTCTGTCAGAGAACAATAGGGAAGTTGTTTATCTTTTAAATAGAAAAGAAAACTAGAGATAGATTAATTCTTTTTGATTGGCTTCTTAGACTGTTTTACCATATTTGTTTAATTTATTTACACATTAAAAAAATGAAGTTTGAAATATATGTGACACATTTATAACCTGAATGAGCTTAAAACTTTTATAATTATATCCAGTATATACAGCTAAATTGGTGTTTAATTCTTTCTGATGTGAAAATTGAAGATTTGAGTTAATAAAGATCCATCTGGCTATGCTTCCTCTGTCTGGGTGTAAATACACCAAAAGAAGGAATGACAGGCAGGAAAAGAAACACGAAGAGATTGACCAAAAGTGAAATATACGAAGTGATAGTTAAAGTGAGGTGGAAAAAAGCAGAGATCGTGTTAAACAGTAGTAGGTAGAAAAAGGGGGAAGCAAGAGGCACCCCAAACAGTAAATAAATATACTCAGATTGTGTCCTGTACTCCTGAGAGTGCCTCTGGATGCACCTTCTCCCGGCACTCAGGTGCCACTGCCTGGCACTACTTGAAAATCCCTCTGTAAACACAAGCTGTTAGTTATAACCCTGTAGCTGTCAGGGTTTTGCAAGCTATTGTTCATCATTTGTATTCAGCTTCCATTTAGCTTCTAATGGCATGGTGTGTTTGTAATAACATTTGTTTCAATATGGGAAAAAATTAATTATTCTGTTGTGTTCTGTCCAGAATAACCAGAGGCAGTGAAGTCCTGAAGCAAATGGTTAAATTGGTACTGGCTGAATTGCCATGTCAGTATTTTTCTGACTTAAACAACCACATTATACCATAACGATAATGCTACTGAATAGCATATGTTCTTTATTTTTCACAAAAATACTATTTTTCTGTTAATTACAGGAAAACCAGATCTTTCAACAATGAGTATTGCTTGCTAAGCGCTTAAGTACTTTCATGAAATGCTGTTGTAGAGACTCGCAAGAGAGACATGTTACTGCATACATGAGAGGACGGCTAATATTTGTGTCCTCAGTTGCAGACTAAACCAATGTTCAGAAAATGTTTCTCTCCATGTTTGTGCCTTGACTAAAAACAGCATTAACATAATAAGTATACAAAACAATGCTAAACTACTAGCACTGAAATAAACTAGAGCCCAACAGAAAAGATATTTGCTTATACAGCAGCTAATGCTTCAGATCAGTCAGGCTCTTCCATATTTTGGCAGCAAAAGGTCAGAAAAGTTTTTTTCTCCTCTTAGATCTTTTCCTTACATCCCTATTTACAGCTGGAGCCTACAAGAATTTTGAGTAAGACTTGATCTGGTCAGGCAGTGCCACCTGCCTAAAAACCGAGGGCTCGTGGAACCCCGGGTTTTGCCAGGCTGCACAGCGGGTTCCATTACGGCTATCAGGACAGGGCTGGAGGAGAGGCTGAGCTTTAGCCTTCTGTTTTAGACTTGTACATCTCAGATTTGTGTATCAAAAAATAAGCTGAGGGAACTTCAGAATCTAAAATTGCTGATTTTCAAGAGCAAAGTGAGAGATACAGGACTCCAACCTATTTTGATGAAGACGACTAGGACTGTTTAAACAGAAAATAACGAAAAGGACTTCTCATCTGCCCACTATACAAGGCATTGCCCAGTGCTCCTCCGGGAGCCACTGCTATTCTGGTGTGAGGACACCCCATTATACAGTTTATTTCATCAAATGAGATTCCCATTTTAAGGGAAGTCTAATGATAAAAGTGTCATTCTGTTAAAAGTATAATTACAAAACAGTTTTATCCTTCATAAATAATGAAATGTGAATTTCCCACACATCCAAATAAATGAAGGTGTTCACAACTGCCCTTTTTTTTCCTCCCTGCAGCTCTCCCCGTATAGAAAAGAAAAAAAACAGTTGTAAATGTATCTCAGCATTAGGAAAAACAGTACCTGTGCTGCATACCTACGTGGATTTGAGACCTCAGTAAGGATGCAACTGTGCTGTGAAACCGTAAATGGCTCTTGCATAAGGAGCAGCTGGCCAAACAGTATCCGTGTTTCCATGTATATCTTCATGGTTTGCATTATTCTGGCCACAGTGGTTGGAAATTTGACAGTTATCATCTCAATATCACATTTTAAGCAGCTCCATACACCTACCAATTTCCTGATACTTTCTATGGCTACAGTAGACTTTTTGCTGGGATTCCTCATCATGCCTTGCAGCATGGTACGCTCTGTTGAGCACTGCTGGTATTTCGGGGAGCTCTTCTGCAAGATCCACACGAGCACAGACATTATGCTGAGCACGGCTTCCATCTTCCATCTTTCCTTCATATCCATCGACCGTTACTACGCTGTGTGTGACCCTCTAAGATACAAATCAAAGATAAATACTTTTGTTATCTTGGTCATGATATTTGTAAGTTGGACGGTGCCTTCTGTTTTTGCTTTTGGGATGATCTTTCTAGACCTAAACTTGCTAGGGGCAGAAGAGATTTATAATCACATACATTGTGCAGGAGGATGCTTTGTCATTTTTAGTGAAACTTCAGGTGTTGTGGCCTCCGTAGTGTCTTTTTACATCCCTGGATTTATTATGCTGTACATCTATAGGAAAATATACACTATAGCCAAGAAGCAAGCAAGATCCATTGATGCAATCAGCCAAAAAAAAATGCAATTTGAAATGAAGCACCACATTTCATTCTGCAGAGAAAGGAAAGCTGCCAAGACATTAGGCATAATAATAGGAGTGTTTCTCATTTGCTGGAGTCCATTCTTCTTCTTTACAGCAATCAATCCATTTATGAATTATGTGATACCTCCTGTTCTCATTGATGCATTGGTTTGGTTTGGTTATTTAAATTCTACATTTAACCCAATTGTTTATGCATTTTTTTACCTGTGGTTTCGCAGGGCATTAAAGATGATTCTGTTTGGAAAAGTTTTTCAACAGGACTCTTCCAGGACTCATTTGTTTTCAGAGTAACATGCTTTAAATGGTTGGATTCATGGCTTTGAATTTTTGTCTGGAGGCTGAGCTCCCAGATGTAAGAGCTGAAAATGAAGGAAACACCTATTTATTCATCTACCAAACCTGTTTCAAGCAGAGAAGCAACTATTGTGCTTTACATCTTCTTTCATTCCAGATTGGGAGTTGTATGTGGTTTTTTGGTTATAGCTATTTATATGCAATGCACAGGAAAGCAAGACTTTAGCTTAAAAAAACTTACAGCAGTTTCTAACCCTGTTCTTAATCAATAAGAAATTATTCCAATACAACAGATTAATTTCTTGAACAAGGTGTGTTTATGTTACAATATTTGTGTTTATTTATTGTCCTCTAGAAAGAGCAGAAAAGCCCTTCCTTTTGAATTTTTAGACATCTTTGAGTGATAACCCAAAGCTTTTAGGTTTTGTCCCTCCCCTTCAGTATGTGTACAGAGGTCAAAACAGGCCCATATACAGCCATAACAGGGCACTCCATGGAGGGAAGATGGGACAGAGAAAAGTCATGCTGGTCCTTCTGTTTCCATTTCAACTAACGCTTGTCACTTTTGAGTTTGTCACTTAAAGGCTTTGCTGCTTAATGAGATCAAAAGCATGTTTAACAAGACCGAAGATAAGGGAAAATATGATGTACAGAATGAAAAGCAATAGTGAAAAGCAACATTGAACCTGAAAATGCCAGAAAATGACGCTTGTCTAATGAATGTTTCGATGTAAAGTATTCACCAATTTGCACCTTACAGAACTTTTTTTAGCTTGGAAATATTGTTATTTTGTCTGATGGCAATGCTGTGACAGCTGGTGAGGAAAGTATATGGAGAATTGTTACAGAAATGCTACGGTTGGCCTGAATGGAGGGTGCATGGGGCTTGGTGAATGTGGAAGCACCAGGAGGAGTGGCAGAAGAAGGGCTGTAGGAATGTCTTGGGGTGACAGCGCCTGGGTGAGCAGGCTGTCAAGGTTACATCTGTGTGCAGCTTCTCAGGACACCCAGACTGCGACATGAAGGACAGGCGAGTAAGTCAAAAACTAGCACATGGTCACCAGCTGAAGAAGACCCACAGGCTGTCATTTTTTAAATCTATGACCTGGCTTTTCTAGAATTGACATATCACCAAACAGAAGAAAATAATACCTCTGGCCTGATCCTGTGACACCTAGTTGGATTGCGGACTAGTCCTGGGAATGGACAGAAAAGAATTAGTACCTGAGAAGAGGCTATGGAGAGAAACTGATGACGTACTGAAGTAAGAGCTATGCTCAGCAGTAAATGATGTCCTCCATTCACATTGTTGGGATAAGTGCTCATCGTATGTGTATCTCATCTTTCTTTTCTGTGCCCTGTAGAGCACTGAAGCACTCTATGCTGTAAAGCATAAAAGTTGAATTATGCAACATTCAGCAGAGCAAAATCAGGATCTGAGATTGTCTCTTTTACTGTTTCATTGCCATCTTGTAAGTTTGCACTCTCCAAAATGACATAAAAATGAACAATGAAATATACACCACAGGGGCACTAAACCTTGTTTATCTCACAGAGTGAGATACTTTAATACTTTAAGTATTAATACTTTATCTCACAGAAATAAAGTAAATTAAGATAAAAAAATTCTATCTTTCTGATAAATGAATGGTTAATTCTCTTCTTTGTTCACCCCCAGTGAGGCTGGCCTGACGTAGTTCATTTTCTCATGCTCAGTGTTACCTTCTGAAATGAATTGTGTGATCACTTGGACATCTTGATCTCTCTTGAAATAGCAGTTTCAGAAGTGCTCCCAGGTGATACCTCCTTTCTTCTGGTGGTGTTATAGATTGAAGGAAAGTGATCTTTCTCTATGAGGAATGTTGCCTATCTGAGGTTTTTTAAGTATATACTTAAAAGTATATACTTCTTAAGTATATTTAGTAAGTTCAGCACATGCTAACATAGTCCCTTCAGGAAGTCAATGGAGATGTTTGATTCCCCTTGCCCACTGTCTATCTATCTATCTCCATGAAAATCTGGAAACATTACTGTTTTTCCAGAGAACTCCAGCTCTACCAGGGTTCATAACGCGTCAGTCTCTCTTCATAATGTGTTCTGGCATCTTTCTGGCATTTTTTTCTGGTTGCAGGAGGAGTCTGTGAATGAATGTGATCCCAGCTTGCTTGCAGGATGACCTCTAGTTCAAATAGAGCACATGCCTCCACAACCTGTGCCTAGACCCTAGTGCAAAGCTAAACTACTTAAAACCATAAAAAACAGACCCACACTCCTGAAGGCTGATAGCCACTTAACCTAAATTTAGACATCTAAAAGTTAGGCACTACATCTGCTCTAGTCATTGTAGCTCCCTTTATACTCACTCTAGAAAACGAGTCATCTTCACAGGGTGTTTTATCTCACCAGCTTATCCATTTTTAGGTAAGATGAGTTGTCCCTGCTGATGCGCTTTCTCTTACTACCAAGAGGGATCTTCCAGTAACTAGAATAGATTTTTTTGATGATTTTAGATATAATTTTTATGTAGCTGAGATGAGGATTACTCAGCATAGGTAAGCACTGCTCAGCAATATGTCATCAACACTGTTTTCATCACAAACCCAAAAAACAGCACTACACAAGCTACTATGAAGAAAATTAACTCTATCCCAGCCAAAGCCAGTAGAGGGGGCATCCTGACATCATGGCTGCACAAGATCACCACAATCTGTTTAGTGTAAATGGAAATAGTAGAAGAAGAAATTTTAAGTGTATAGACCACCAACTCTCCTGCAAGCTAGTCTGGCCAAGATGCCACCGGTATTTATTATCTGCAGAAGTAACACGAGGTTTCCACACACAGACTGCTGGTGACCTTCATCCACACCTAGAAGGCATTTCTCCTTGTTCTTAATAACCTACAAGTGTAAGTCAGTTTTGTGCATGGCCCAGCTCAGAACATTTCAGAAATAACTTTTTCCTCTGGTGTTCTACTACCTGAAGGTGGCACTTTCCCTAGGAGTCTCCTTGCTTTCTGTTTACAGAGTGCCTTCTCTGGCAAAGCAATTTTAATGAAGTTCCAGGTTACTTTCTCTCATCAGATCTAATCACAGGCAGCACAAAGCTATTTTTCACTGTGAAGGGGGTGTACAAATGAGGTCTGTTAAAGGCCGCAGGGTCTCTATCTGAACCCAAGATTTTGATAAATTAGGAGAGCACAAGAAAAATGCTTTATGCTGTTGTCCGATCAGATTATGAGTTAGGTCTGGTGAAGCAGAATGTACCTGACTGCAATCTCAAAGTGTCATCGTGTAAACGAAGTGCAAAGGGTATTGTTAAATTCCTTATCAACACATTTAATTAGTTACCTGATTAAACACTTCCCAGATAGCTACCTTTTTCAAAACAAATGAATCTCCAGTGGGTGATTTCATGTTTTAACTTCCCTGAAAACTTATGCAAAGCAATTACTCCAGCATGACGAAAGGATCTGTTTTAGCAGTAAACCTATGTCTGTTCATTTTGCCACCAGTGAGCACAGTTTGCAACGTCACCTTCCTCTCATGCTTTGTACAAAATGGACAGTAAGCTTCGGAGTCATGGACTGCCGCCTGTCCCCTCTGCCTTAGCGCCTGTAGCTTGTGCTTTGGTGGTTGTAACACGGTGCTGCAGCTTGTGGGCTGCCACCTGCTATGGCCTCCTGCACAGTGGTCCCACCCACGCCAGAGCCTCATGGTTTGCCCCTCAGTCACCAGATGCAGCAGGACAGGGGAAGAGGAGGAGCACTGACTGTCCAGGCAGGACCCTTCCAGAAGGTTCACAAGGAAATGTCCTCAAGTTGAGCCAAGGGAGGTTTAGATTGGACATTAAGAAAAATTTCTTTACTGAAAGAGTAGTCAAGCCTTGGAACAGGCTGCCCAGAGAAGTGGTTGAGTCACCAACCCTGGAGGTATTTAAAAGACGTGTAGATGTGGCGCTCAGGGACATGGTTTAATGGGCATGGTGGTGTTGGGTTGACGGTTGGACTCGATAAGCTTAGAGGTCTTTTCCAGCCTTAATGATTCTATGATTCTATGACTCTATGATTCTATGAAAGCTCACTCCAAAACAGAGTATTTTAAACAAACAGAGAAAAATGTACATTAGTGCAGTGTTCAAATAGAAAAACTGTACAAATATTGCAAAGTGTATGGCTTTCCTTAAATCATTAACTTATCCAGGTTGTGCACACCGTGCACTCTCTATCCTCTACAATGCATTAATACCCATTCAACATGGAAGAAAATACTACGTACAGTCAAACATAAGATACTGTGTTCTACAAAAGGCTTTTACTTCTGCAGTTTTTCTGATCATCTTAGTTATCTACAACACTACTTCCACATTACTGCATCTAAAGACCTAATTCAGAAAAAGACTATGCCTATCTTTTTGACTAGTCTGTTTCCATTAGACATAGCCTAAATTTGATGAACTTCTATGATGAAATGACTGGCCTGGTAGACGAGGGGTGAGCAGTGGTTATTGTCTACCTAGACTTCAGTAGGGCTTTCAACATGTCTCCCATAAGATCTTCAAAGAAAAGGTAATGAAACATGGGCTGGATGAGCAGAAACTGAAGTGGATTGAAAACTGGCTGAATGGCCAAGCCCAGAGGGTGGTGATCATTGGCATGTAGTCTAGCTGGAGGCCAGCAACTAGTGGTGTACCCCAGGGGTCAATACTGGGTCCAATCCTGTTTAACATCTTCATTAATGATCTGGAGGATGGGGCAGAGTGTACTCTTCCAACCTCAACCATTCTGTGATTCTATGAAATTTAATTCCTATAATATTTCCTTCTTTGTAAGTTTTTTAATAAGATCTTTTCACCTTCATGCTGTCACTTTAAATCCAACCAATGAGAGTACTGCTCACACTCAGGTATGTGCTTGTCCTTTCTTTGTTTAGACGTCAGGCTTGTTATAAAATATGCTTGCTGACAGCCCACCCCATATTCACCCCCCACACTTTCACACT